CCCGACCAGAACTTTGGCTGAGATCCTGGCTAGAGGTCCTGACTAGGCTGCTGATCAACTGAAGGCTGTCTCCGTGTCATTCCTTTTTCGCCGACTCCGTCCACACCTTTGGGGACCCCTGGACCTGCTGGGGTTGGACCCCAGCAAAGAATAAATACGTGGACTAACAGATTTCTTTGATAAAAAAAAAAACTTTTTAAAAAAACACTTCCATCACCCCAAAAAGAAACCCTACACACGTTAGCAGTCACTCCACATTCCCCTCCCCATCCCCTGGCAGCTGCTCATCTACTGTCTATCTAGAGACTTCATACAATAAATCACTCATACCAATGGGGTCATGCAATATGTGCCTTTGTATCTGACTTCTTTCCCTTAGCGTAATGTTTTCAAGTTTCATCCACTTTGTGGCCTGTATCAGGACTCCATTCCTTTCTATGGCTACATAATAGTCCATTGTCTGGGTAGAAATTTATCCACTCATCCTGTGACAGGCATTTGATATCCATTTATCATTTAACAGGCTACTATGAATAATGCTGCTATGAATTTTCAAGTACAAGATTTTGATGGACAGGTCTTCTCCCTTCTCTTGGGTAGAGACCTAGGAGTGGTTTGAGGGGTCCTATGGTAACACTACGTATGAGAGGCCTTTTAACTTAGCCTCCCAGATCCTGGGGTCTGATCTGGTTGTCAGTTCCCTGTCTGACCTCTACATGGCCATTTCCAGAGACCAGGCCAGAAACACACCAAGCAACCCCTCTTGTGAGCCTGACCCCATCAGCATCCTCCAACTCCTGCGAGTTGCATGCAGGGGAGGTCCTCTGACCTAGAACTCAGGCCCTCACTGGAACCCCAAGATTTCTTGGCATTAGCTGAACCTCAAGTTCTGGAACCAGAGAGACGTCGCCTGGAAGTTCCAGTGGAAACCCAGCTAATTCAGTTAGTCATGAATGATGTTAACGAATCCTTACATCGATCTCCCAGAATACACTGGTAGGGAAGGGCCCCTCTGGCTGGGTAGGCCATGTGACTTCTTCTGGCCAATGAGCAGTGAGCAGAAATGCAGTATAATTTCCAGGCCAGAGTATTGCAGTGGCTGCTGTATCACCTTGGTGGAGTGGGGCACATGGGGAAAAACTCCCAAGTGACCTGTCATGGGTATATCCTGAGAGCAAGAAATCAATTTTGTATTGTTTTAGGCCCTCAAGATTTTGGGGTCATTTGTTACTGTAACTTATCCTGACTGATACACCAACCCATCCACGTAACCTGGCTCCCGCCAAGGTCTCTATATTAGTTTGCTGGGGCTGCCATAACAAAGGACCACAGACGGGGGGCTGCAATATTGCTGGGCCATATGTATTTTCTCCCAGTTCTGGAGGCTGAAGTTCAAGATCAAGGAGTTAATAGAGTTGGTTCCTTATGAGGCTGTGAGGGAGACTGTCCCACGCCTCTCCTAGCTGCTGGTGGTCTTGGCATTTGTTGGTACATGATGTTCTCCCCGTCTTCCCATAGTCTTTCCTGTGTGTGTGTGTGTGTGTGTGTGTGTGTGTGTGTGTGTCCAAACTTCCTCTATGTATCAGGATACCAGTCATGGTGGATTAGGACACCCCCAAAGACCTAGTTGTCTCTTTAAAGAGCCTCTCTGCCTGTAGAGTCACATTCTGAGTGCTGGGGCTTAAGACTTCAACATATGAATTGAGGGACACAATCCAGGTTATAACAGACTCCATTCCAACTCCAAGGTGCCAGGGGTCCCATCCTGCCCAGGATGAGTGAAGGCTGATGCCAGTCTAAGTTGGTGAGACTTGGGACATCTTAGCAGTAGGTTCTAGGGGGCTCCTTCTAGGTCCGTGGAGGACTTCTTTCCTGGGGATCAAGTGCTGCTCCCAGGACTGCAGACTACAGTGGAAACCTCCACAAACCCACCCCTGGGAAACAGCACAGGATGGTGAGTAAGCTTACGGACATGAGCCCTGACTCCATCGCCCAACAACTGTGCAACTTAGACACCTCTCTGAGCCTCTGTTTCTTCTTTTAGAGCAGTGGTGCTCAACCTTCTGGCCCTTTAAATACAGTTCCTCATGTTGTGACCCAACCATAAAATTATTTTCGTTGCTCCTTCATAACTGTAATGTTGCTACTGTTATGAATCATCATGTAAATATCTGATATGCAGGATGGTCTTAGGTGACCCCTGTGAAAGGGTCGTTCGACCCCCAAAGGGGTCGCGACCCACTGGTTGAGAACCGCTGTTTTAGAGGATCATAACGTGTTCTCCTTAGAGCTACTATGAGAAATCAAAGAGAATATACCTGATATATGGCAATCCTGCCATAATCAGTTACCACTGCTATTGCTGCTGGTGGTGTTCATATGTGCTTAAAAGAAAGGGAAAATTGCCTGGCCAGTGTGGCTCAGGGGTTGAGTGTTGACCCATGAACCAGGGGTCATGGTTTGATTCCTGGTCAGTGCATGTGCCCAGGTTTTGGGCTCGATCCTCAGTAGGGGGCATGCAGGAGGCAGCCAATCAATGATCCTCTCATCATTGTTTCTATCCCTCTCTCCCTCTCCCTTCCTCTCTCTGAAATCAATTTTAAAAAACATATTAAAAGGGGAAATTACTGTGGTTTCATTGTGGTTCAGAGAGCGTGGGAGACACCTCAGGCATCTTTTCCTTGTCTTCAGGGCTTGATCTCATTCAACAAACATTGACTGAGCACCTACCAAGAGCCAGGAGCTCTTCTGTGAAGGTTTCTTTCTCAGATCAATGTTTCTCTCTCCTCTCTCTCACTCTCTCCTCTCCTACACCCTTCCCTTCCACTCTCTCTAAAAATCAATGGAGAAAATATCTTCACTTCTTGGATCAGGGGGAAAAAAAGAAAAGGCATTTTCCAGTGAGCACCTAGGATGTGCTAGGCACTATGCCGGGCACAGGGGTGGGAGGGTGCACAGCAGGCCCTAGAGGGAAGAAACAGGAATTCAAATCAGGTGGTTTGATCCAGGCTAGTGGCCCGCGCTGCCTCCCCGGGCTACACATACTCTCCCTGGTTTATGGGCGAACTGTGTCCCTCCCACCCCAATTCATGTTGAAGTCCTAGTCCTCAGAGCTTCAGAATGTGAGTGTTTTGGAGACAGAGTGCTTAAAAGGTAATTAAGTAAAACATGAGCCTGTTATGGCGGCCCTGACCCATATAATGGGTGTCCTTAGAAGAAGAGATTAGACACAGACACACAGAGGGAAGACCATGCGGAGGCACAGGGACAAAGTCCAAGTGGAACCAACCCTGCAGACACCTTGATCGCAGGCCCGCAGCCTACAGACCCTGATAATAAATCTCCACGCCCCCAGCTGTGGTGCTTTGCCTGGAAGCTGGGACTCTGGGACGCTCCAGCCCCTCTCGAGCTCAACCCAAGCCCCCCTGGAAGAGCAGTGCCCCAAACGCACAGTCACCAGAATCAGGGAGGAAGCCCACCTCACCCAGCAGGTTGAAACCGCCAGGCTCTTCAAGGCCAGGAGGGAAGCTTAGAGGAGCCTGTAGAGACAGCAGCCGCACACAGTGGGGCCGACACAACCCCAGGGCTGTTCTTACCGGCCGCGTTCTCCCTGGACTTCTCTCTCCACAGCACCAGTCTCCACCATTGTCCTGACACTCAGACGTGTTCCTGGCACAGCTCTCTCCTAAGTGCCCACCCCCAAATGTCCAGAGCCCCGGCCGCTCCCCTGATGTCCCTTCAGCTCCTCAAACTCAACAAGTTCTAAATGGAGTCCGACAACTTTCCCGCCCCTCTCCTTCCCCCTCCTTCTGCCTCGGTAAAATGTCCCCCCACCACCTCTGCCAACCTCCCCTCGTCCTCCTTGGCATCCCCAACCCCGCCTCCCCACTGCCCACTAATCTCTCTGTTCTGCCCAATTTTATTGTAAATGTTTCTTGGGCATTGTCTCTCCTCACCGTCTCCACGTCCGCTGCCTAATTTAGGCCTCGTCATCTCTCCCTGGTCTCTGGCCTCAGCCTTGTCCCCCTAATTCAACCCTGCTGGCAGGAGAGCCCAGTAATAGAAACGCCTGATGAGGCAGAAGCTATCAGCACCCCCACCTCACAGGTGAAGCAACTGAGGCCCAGAGTTTTGTTAAAAGGCCGGACTGGGGTTTCACATAAGGCAGTTTGGCTCCACACTCTTAAGCTCTTGACCAACATGCCAGGACAGTGGGCAAGAGTGCACAGTAGGGACTGGCTCATTCTGTGTGACCTCAGCTGAGCACACAGAGGAACAATGCCTGGGAAACAGAATAAAGTCACTGAACCCTGTGCCTGTGTGTACCTGTATATGTACATGTGCATGCACATGGCGTGTCTCTCAGGAACCAGACTCAGCAGTGCACATGATAGGAACATACAGAAAACTTGGAGTACCTGCACACAGTATGACCAGCCCAGGGGCGGGAGAATGAGTGGCGTCAGGACAGGCACCCAGGGACATCTGGGACCCCAGGGCGGGCAGGTAGCATTGGGAGGCCCTGTGGTCAGTAGTGGGACTACAGGTGAATTCTGGGATGGCACTCACAGCTCATGGAGCTCAGCCAGAGGCTGGGTGCATGGGTCACTGTGGCAAGCTCCAGCCCCAGCTGTCCTAAGCATGGAAGGCGGGGTGCGATACCCCCTGAACCCAAAGAATGACATGGGCCCTCCTCCGAGAATAGAGGTTTATTGGGAATGACTGTTCAAGGTCCTCAGTGCAGTGCTGCCCTCCTCTTGGAGGGACAGCAATCCAGTGTGTGGGCCCTGGAGGTCCCGGGAGACCAGGGAGGCCACAGGCACAGCAGCAGGCGGTGGGGGAGCAGCCCCCTCGGGGCCCCGCAGCCCAGCTCCGGGGGCCCTGTGGTCCTCAGGTGTCTGCGGGCGAGCTGGAAGCGTCCTGCGGCAGGCAGCGCCGGTGCCTGAGCACCGTCTTGTCCTCCTCCTGCGGAACAGGAGCCCCCACACGTCACACAGAGCAGGTCCCGGGACAGGTCACTCCGCACAACCGCCCGGGGCCCGGGCAGCTCCTCTCACCATCTCAGAGGCGGTGCTGGGGCTGGCACCCTCGGGGGAGCCCCCTTCGTCCCGTGAGCAGTCAGGTCCTGCGTCCTCCTCGTACTCCGTCAGGCAATCTGACTCTTCCCCTGGAATTCGGGGAGCAGTGTGACAGTGAGGGGACACGGGCGGGGCCTGCGTTTCCAGCCACATCCCACTGACCACGGGCCTGGCCCCGCCTCTGGAAGCGCCCTCACCATCAGCACAGCCATCAGAAACATAGCTGGTGGGGGGCTCGATCCGGGACACGATCTCCGCCAAGTCAGTGAAGCCAGAACTGGGGAAGGCCAGCACCTGAGGGGACAGGGGTGAGGTCTCAGAGGCTCCGTGGTGTCCTGGGGGACTGTGCCTTGGGGACACGTCCTGAGGAGAGTTCTCTGGTCGGAGGAGCTCAGAGAAACCCAGGGAGTCTGGGGTCATCTGAGGTTTGGGAGACCCAGAGGGGCTGGGGGGTCCCCGGCTTACGTCTGCACGGCGGCTCTCAATCAGGTCAGCAGACCGCCGGTCTGTGAGCATCTTCTCAATGACGTCGCCCCGGCTCCAGCCCCCAAACACAGCCTTCCCGTACTGGTAGCCCACATCCTGCAGGAAGAAGGGGACTGGGGCCATCCACGCTGCAACTCCCCCAGATGCTCCCCGCCTGGTCCGCTTGCTTAGCCCCACGTTGCCTGACCCTGGCCTGGCCCCTCAAAAGCTGCTGCTTCGGGAAACTAGCATCGAGGCTAACCGTATTTTGGAGTCAGCCGTATGTAGCACTCTTGGCCCATGTCCTCCATCCTGTGCCCCTGCCAGACATCACCAATCCATCACTTCATGTTCTTTCCCACTCATCCCCATGCAGTGGGCCAAGTACCAAATGGCTTGAGATGGTGGTGGCAACCTTATTTCAAGTTCTCCAAATGTGCAGTCTATTTGTGGGTATCGCCAGCTCCCATACCCAGAACAGACACCACTAATCCACCAGGGCACACTGTCCCCGTCAGCCCTGAAAGAGCATCAGACATGTTGTACCCAGGTCTCTGGGCAGCAGCTAACGATCCGTTTTAGGTGGCACGGGCTACGGCACATTCTTCAGGGCCAGTGGCACATGACACACACACTGCTCCTTCCCTCGCTTACCTGTGGCAGGCATTACTAGTTGATCACTGTCCCCATGCCCACCAACGCAGAAATCTCTACACAGTGCTTCAGGTAGTGCAGCTGGCACATAAGCAGCTTAGTTCATACACAGCATGTGGGCAGCGTGTTCCATTGCCACGTCAATACAGACATCACTAACTGATTACTGTTCTATTCCCCAGTTCCCGGTTGGGAACCGTTCCCCTCGCGTTGCTCTGGGCGTTCAGTAGTAAAGCTCTGCCGGCCCCGCACTGATACCAGGCCACTCCCGCCCACTCACATAGATCTGGTCGAACTTCCCGAAGTCCATGGTCTTGAAGCAGTCGATGGGGGGGCGCAGGTACTCGCAGTAGGAGCTGGACTTGACAACCTCCAGCTGGCGTACGCAGGACACGTAGGCCAGGCGGGACTGAATCTCAGCCATGTCTGGAACCTTGATCTTATCCGTCCAAGGGTTTAGCCGCTTCCACAGCAGCCACCAGCCAGACAGGCTGTCCCCGTAGGTGCTGAGGTCTGTCTCGTCCTGGCTCCCGACGTCAATGGCAATGACTGTCTTGGCACCCATGCTGCGGGCGATGTCCGCTGTGGGGCCAGGGGGTCAGCGGGTGGCTCCCCACCAGGGCCCAGAGCAGAAAAGTTCAACCCAGTCCCACAGACACCATCATGCAATGTCACGCAAAACCCATGCAAACAGCATGTTGGCATGCAAACAGCATGTTGGCATGCAAATGGCATGGAACGTGATGCCCATGATGAGAAGACAGGGTGAGACGGCGGAGCTTTTAGAGGTGAGGAAGCACGCCAGAGGGATGTAGGGGTTGGAGACAGAGGGATAAAATTGCTGGGGAAAAGGCAGGACAGAGAAGTGGGAGGAGAGTGAGGTAGAGAGACAGAGCCATAAGGACACCTGGAGACGGAGATGCAAGAAGTGAAGACGGCAGGAGACGGGCCGCAGAGAGAAATGCAGGGAAGCAGAATTAGCAAGAGGTTTGGGGAGGAGAAAGAGATCAAGAGTTAGAGAAATGGACGAAGAGAGAGTCTGGGGCTGTGACAAGGGACAGAGAGCCAAGAACAGGAAGGCAGAACAGAGGAGGTGATGGGGAGGGCCCGGCAGGGAGGGTGGTGTGTCCGTGGGTCCATGTGGCCCACTGAGGGGCCCTGAGTGGGTCTGGGGAAACCTGGGGGGACAGGGACAGGGTCCTATAACCACACTCAGCCCAGAAAAACAGAGTCTCTGTCAGACTTTCCATGTGTCCCTCAGGAGCTGGTGTGTAAGTCTGAGTGTGCACGCCCACGGCAGGTGTCCCTGCTGTCTGTGTGCGTCTCCAGTCCACGTGTCTCTGTGAGCACACACACCTCTGGGCATGTCTGTATTCATTTAAGTCATCATGCACCTAGATCAACATCTGTGTGTCCTGTGCGTTCGAGTACGCCTATCCACCTACAGGCTTACACACACGTGAAGGTGTGTGGTTATGTTAGTGCAGGTATGTGTACAGAGCGCCTATACAAGAGTTGGCAATTTTTTTCTGGAAATGGCCAGCAAGAAAATAATTTCAGCTTTGCAGGCCACATGGTCTGTGTCACAACTACTCAACTGTGCTATTATGGCAAAAAAGCAGCCACAAACAATGAGTAAATGACTGGGTGTGATTGTGTGTCAATAAAACTTTATTGACAAAATCAGGCAGGGGCCGATTTGACCTTCAGGGCAGAGTCTGCCAAGCCCTGGCGTACAGGATTACAAGTGTGTGTGCGCAGCCAGTGAAGGTGTCTACTTGTGCATGCACGTGTCCGGGCATGTAAAATTTTAAATTGCAAACCTGCCTGCCTCTTATCTGCACACAAGTCAGAGGGTGTGAAAAGATGCTTGACTTGGTCTCGCAGGTGCCCCCCCTACCTCAGTGTGTATGCTTATGCACGTCTTAGGAAGCATGAGGGTGAGTGTGGACAGACTGGCGTGAGAGCACGTGTACCCAATTTCATTAATGCATGTGTTTTTATCTGTGCACATGCATCTAACCTGGCGCACACGAGTACCCTACCGGCCGTCTGAGCATCTATGACAATGTGCATGTGAGCAGATGCATGTGAAGATGTCCCGTTCTATCCCATATCCGGTGCTGTGTGTACACGTCTGTGTGCATTCATCTGCATCTTACATATGGGTACACTTTCCACCTGCACATTCCTGTCCTCGGCTCATCCACATATCTGCTTGTGCATCTAAGTGTGTGTGTGTGTGTGTGTGTGTCCAGAGCCCTGCACCGGTCTGCTTGCACACACGTCCTCCTGGGCGCCTGTCTGCATGTGCGCCTGTGCATGGGCCCACTCGCTCACTATTTGCCTGTGTGCATGTGTGTGCACATGAGCGAGCGGGCAGCCACTTGCCTGGCAGGTTGTTGATGTAGCCGCCGTCCATGAGGAGGTGCCCGTCCTTGGGGTCGCACAGCGGGGGCAGGTAGCCCGAGAGCGTCATGCTGGCGCGCACGTATCGCCATAGGGAGCCTGCCCAGTGGGACACACAGACACAGACACGCACAGACACTCTCAGACACGCTCAGAGGCCCGGCCAGCCCGGTGGGCTCGCTGACCTGGCACGTTGTTGACGTAGCACCCGTCCACCAGCAGGTGCCCGTCCTTGGGGTCGCAGAGCGGGGGCAGGTAGGGGCAGTAGGAGGCACTGGCCCGGACGTAGCGCCACACGCAGCCTGCAGGGATGGCGTGAGCGGGTGAGGTGCCCGACTATTTCCCGGTCCCCACCCTGAGGACAGACCTACCTGGGACCTCTGGGGCATTAGTGGGTGATGGTTAGTGCTGGCAATCAGGTCAGGATGGACGGTCACTCGTGTTAACAGTGTCCCAGACACTTGGCTGCCCTGCCTGCCCCCCTCCCCACGTGGCCACAGATGCGGTGGGGCCAGCCAGGGGCACCCACCATCTTTGTGAACACGCATGGCCGAGGCAGTGATGTCCGTAGTCACGTTGAAGTATGGCAGCCACAGGTCCTACGAGGACGAGGACCAAGGTTGGGGAGGAGTGGGGACACGTGTGGACGGGGCAGGGACAGGGCAGGGTGGGAGAGGCGCACCTCAATCTGCTTGTCCTGGAAGACGCGGTGGATGCTGCGGTTGAAGGCTGACCCCGTGAACATGGACGTGGCGGGGTAGGTGAGGTCCAGCATGGGCTCCAGCACGGAAGTCATGCTCTAGGGGCAAGGGGGGCAGCTGGGGTGAAACAGGAGTCACCTGGGTCACTAACAGGTGGTCACTAAGAATGCCGATTGCTCAAGCTGGGGACTGGGGGCTGAGGTCACTAGCCAAATGTGGTGGGGTCATCCGAAGTCCGGAAGGGACTCCGTTAAGCGTCCACAAATTAAATGAGGAAAAGGTTGGCAGAAACCCAGAAGCTCCCATGGGATCGTTTTAGGGTGCTTCTGGGGTGGGGAGGCCCCCCCCCCACCCCCCACACACACACCTTGGCCCACTCTCGGGCCCGCTGCTTAGTTCGGCTGGCGCTTCGCTCTTCGGCATATAGGGCCCCAATGAAGGAGCCGATAGAAGTGCCGCCCACTAGGTCGACAGGGACCCCCGCCTCTTCTAATGCCTTCAGCACCCCAATGTGTGAGCAGCCCCTGCAAGGAAGAGGAGCCCCGGTGACCCGCTGGGAATCCCTTTGGTGGCACCCCCAGGAGAGGCCCTTCTCCAACTCCCCCACTGACCCCTATGGGATCTCACCCCGTAAGCTCCACCCCCGGGCACCGCTCGCACCGGTGCCGGCCACACCCCCTCACCTGGCTCCGCCCCCACCCAGCACCAGGGCGATGGTGTTGCCGGTGAGCACCCGCGCCAGGCGGGAGAAGTCGCTGTGCCGGTCCACGCGCCTGGAGAACACCTTCTCATACAGCTCGTGCTGGGGTGAGAACAGAGGCGACCCGTAAGAACGGGGTGCAGAGGGAGCCTCGGGGTGCCGCAGGGCGGCAGGTCCCTAAGCCACGCCCCCCGTAGCCGCACCCCAGCTAAGTCCGAGGAGGGACCTTTTCCTTGGACCCCGCCCTCACCAGTTTGGCGGGACTGCGACGCGAGAAGAGGCGGCGGGGACAGCGCAGGTGCAGGTGCCCCGAGCACCAGCTGCGCATGTTGAGCCACTCCACGGTGCGCGTGGGGCCCGGGCCCTCCTCCCGGTGCAGCAGGACCAGCTGCTTGAGGGCGCGCACGGCCGTGTTCTCCAGCATCTGCTCCAGCTGCCGGAGAGCCGAGGGCGGTGTCACCAATCACCAGTCGTTTCCTCCTCGACTGGGGCCCCTAAGATTTAGCCTCGCCCCACAGTGAGGGTGCATGCGGCACTGGTGCAAGCACTGGAGGGGAGGGGGCGGCCCGGGAGTGGGGTCCCTGGGGACGGTCTCCAGACCTGGCCCAGCGTGGGCTCTTGGTCGCCCAGGCCCACGATGAGGATGCAATCAGCCTGGCGCAGGCAGCGCACCGTCCAGGGCGTCAGTGAGGAGTCTGTCTGGTAGAGCACAATGCGGTGGGTGTCCTCCTGCTGGGCCAGCCATCCCGACAGCCGAAACTCTTGGATGCTGGGTGGGGGTGGGGCGGGGAGAATCATCTGGAGCTGGTCAGAGACCATGACAAGGCCACTGCTGGGGGGGAGGGACTAAACACCTAGGCTCCCACACACCCCTCCAGGGCGGATTCATTCCACTAACTGGATAGGGGGGAGCATGCTCCTCAGCCCACAGCCTAGATCTGAAATTGCAGCTGAAAGAATCCTAGACTCAAGTTCATCCCTCACACCCACCCCCTGCACCCCAACACACACCTGTCCAGTGCGGAGGCGCCCAGGCGTGCCCGGATGATGTCACTGTTGAGGAGGAGGGTGGGGCCTGAGGATGGGTAAGGACGAGAGGTTAGGAGCCCAGGTCAACAGCGCTGGGGCCTCTCCCAGAACAGAACACCCCCCACCCCACTCCCGTGGCGCTGTTCTGCCCCAGCCCCCATGGACCCGCGGGGCATCTCCACTCATTGGCCAGTGCCCCACCCACACGCGCCTTGCCCCGCAGATCCGACTGACCGATGGCTTGCAAAGCATGCTGCAGCTCCAGTGTGAAGGCCACCATGGGCACCTCCGCGCACACGGGCAGGACTGCCACCGTGGCCAGGTTGCTGGCTGGGTTGGTGAGTTCCGAGTGAGGGGGGACGCCCAGTCCCGAGCCTGCTGAGACCCCAAAGGATGAAATCTGCTGTGCAGCCGTGTCCCGAGAGGGAGCCCTCCTCCTCCTTCTCAGAAACCCCTGCCCCGTGTCCCGCAGCTGAGGCTCAGTGAGGCCACAGTGAAGATCCTGGGCCACACGTGACAGGACTTGGCCACCCAACCTTCCATTTTGGCTCCATGTCCTCAGTGGCCCTCACTACGCACATCGCGGCCTCTGATTCCCACAGGGCCTGCAGGCACCCATGGTGCCCGCCTACGCTGGCCTGGGTGCCCTGTCCACTGAAGAGACTTGAACACACAACTAAGCAGAAACAAATACACCTCTGGCCCATCTACTGCTTCCCAGCGTCTCCACTGACACCTCACACTCCCACTAACCGCCAGGGTGCGGAGCCTCGCACTGCCTCCAGCCGCTTCCCACACACTCTGACCGGCTCCAGTGCCTTTCCAGGGCCCCTCGCCCCTGTGCGACTTGCCCCGGCCGTTTCTCCCCATCACTCGCTGTCCTCCTCCAAGTATTTCAAAACCCCCAAACCCCGTGTGCAGAACCTTCAAAGTTCTCTTCAATGTCCGGCCCCGTCTCATTTATCAAGTCTCAGCTCTCTGTCCTCTGAAAAGCTGGTCACCCTCAATCAAGACCGTTTGTTGTCTTCACAGTGCTTGTCTGATGTTTTGCCTGTGGCTGTATAAGCTCTAGGGCAGTGGTTCCCAAACTTATTTGGCCTACCGCCCCCTTCCAGAAAAAATATTACTCAGCCGCTGGAAACTAATTTTTTTTAAAATTTTAATAGCAGTTACTCATCGCCCCCAAATGCACCTGTGGCCATCACCCCCCCCCCCCCCATCGCTGCAGCGCCCACCGGGGGGCGGTAGCTCCCACTTTGGGAATCACTGCTCTAGGGCCTGCTGTGCACTCTCCCACGCCCATGCTGGGCACAGTGCCTAGCACCACTAGGTGCTACTGGAATATGCCTTTTCTTTTTGTTGTTCCCTCACCGGAGTGAAGATATTTTTCCCATTGATTTTTAGAGAGAGTGGAAAAGAGGGTGTGGGAGGGGGTGGGAGAAGGAGGGGGAGGGGGAGAGGGAGGGAGGGAGAGAGAGAGAGAGAGAGAGAGAGAGAGAGAGAGAGACATTGATTGGTTGGCTCCTGCTTTTGTCCTGATGAGGGCGGGGGATTGAACTGCAAGTCGGGGACCGATGCTCTCACCGCTGAGCAAACTGGCCAGAGCACAAATGCCTTTCCTGGAGCATCAGCAGAGAGGCTCTTGGAAGCCCAGCATCTTAACGGCGCAGCCCCAAGGCTGCCCAAGCACCACCTCAAGGATGGCTCCAGCATTTGTATACAGTACAGTTCAGGGCTGTGGCGGAGGGGGCACCTGACCGTGGGCAGGAGGCGCTTCTCGGCCACTGCTCACCACTGCCGCCACCCCGGGGGCAGGGGGGCAGGAGTCAAAGCTGATGGGGCAGAAGCCCCTGGGGTAAAAGGGAGGCAAAGAGGCTGCCAGTCTAGGTCCCATATTTCCATACAACTCAGATCCGACTCCAATTCCCAGGCTCCCTAGTTCATGGGAATCACACCTCCCAGCTGCTGGCAACGTCAGAGGCCCCTTCTCCACATGCCCCGGGGCCCAAACACCACCCCAGGAACCCATTTCCCAGCATACCCTCTTCTCCATCCTTCAGCCAAGTGCTGCCGCCTAGAACGAAGCTCACCCCTAAAACTCTGCCCCCTCAACAGAGGTGACATTTTTAGATTCCATAGCAAGTAGCCCGAGTCTAACTCCGTTCCCGGCAGGGCGGGACCCTCCCTCCCTCCGGCAGGGCCGGGAGCTCCAAGCCCCCCTTCTGCAAACGCCCAGAGCTGGCCTTGGTTTCCCAGCACCGCCCTGGGCCAGGGCGCTCTCCCGGCAAGTCCCAGGTGTCAACGACATCCCCGCGGCATCCGGGGCAACTGCCGGATCTCACC